TGAAAGCAACTAGTAGATCGAGAAAATTCCTTACCACTTTGAGTTGGGCGCCTTGCTTCGCCACCCGCACCCGAGGCGCCTGCTACCGCAGCGCCCGTTCTTGCCTCACCACACGCAGTGGGGGCGCCCGGGCCGACGGCTTTGTCTGTTTGCGACGACATTCTTGGCTGAATATACGAAAAGGCTGACGAGGGCACAGAGGAATCTAGAGAGATGTCAGGAAGGAATCTAGAGAGAAGTCAGAGCGAAAATCCTGGAGAGAGGCGAGATTGTGGAAAGTGACAAGGACTGAAGGGGAGGGGGTATTTAAAGGAAAAGGGGGAACACGAGTCAAGACTCGCCTTGCGCGCCACGTGTCACTGTCAAGGGCAGGCTTTTGAGCTCCCCCCACTTTTTTCTTTTTTTTGGAATTTTGCCAAATTTAAAATTCTTGTTTCGAGTTTTTAGAAATATGTTTCAAAATTCAAACAAGAAAAACGTGGGGCCAATATCAAACACCCGCCCATGAGGGGGCATAGGTGATAGAGGCGCCCTTTCTGAGAGGCGTCCGGAAAAAAGCTGAGTAAGGGCGCGTCGAGAGAGAGGCGCCCATATATAAAAAAAAGGAAGGAAAAAAGAAGGCAAAGAAAACAAGACAAGGAAGCCAAGCAAGCTGAAGTCGGGGCGGACAACACGACAACAGATGGCCAATAGAGAACTCAGACACCGTGAGGACGGACGTACTCGGGAAGTTGGGCGCCTACTGACAAGGGGAAGGGCGAGACCACAATAGCTGGGTCAGCTAGGCGCTCAAAAGCAGAGCTATGAGCACCTAACTGGGGGGCAATTGTTGGGGGTATTATGAGCAAGGCCCAATGGGCGACAACTTGGGCCTCCAAACAGCCGAATTGGGGGGCAAGGCCCAAGCAAGATAGGGGGCACATAAGGACAAGTCACTAGAAGCCAAAGGGGGCCAGGCTGTCAAGTGGTCCATCGTCTGCGGGCGCCTGTCACGTGCCAGAAGCCTGACAAGGCGGTTGGGATATCTTACCAGAAGGGGACAAAGCATTAAATGAAGACAGTGAGGTGGAGAAGATCAACCTCGAACTCTGGTGAGTATAAATAGGGGCAGTTGGTAGCATTTACACAGGTTGGACCCCCTCTCACTAAACTCTAGTTTTTGGGGACACTTCTCTCTTCCTAGAAACTAACTTGGGCGTCGGAGGATTAACGGGCCCAGGCGCCCCCTCCTTGTTCGTGTGTGCAGACAGGCGTCTTGCAGGAGAGGATTCGTGAGAGTCATACGAGGATAACGTGTCTCAAACACGGGTCAATCCGGTTCAGGTTAATCGGGTAGCGGGTTATTCTTATTATGGATTAACCGGATCACAGGTCAATCGGGTTGCGGGTCATTGACTTTTAGTCAATTCGGGTTGTGGGTCGGGTTGGTCGGGCGGGTTACTCGGGTCGGGGTCTGTTTGGACACCTATACTTGTAATGGTTCATGTGTTGATGCCCAATAGCCATTGAGATCGCCCGCTTTGTGCCCTTTAATAAGTCTCCAAGTTATTATTGTTAGGTTGAAAATTTGCCTTGTTTGAGATTGGTTTGCTTGGGGACAAGCAAACGTTCAAGTGTGGGGGTGTGATTTGGGTCTAATTATACACAGTTTACCCCTCATTTCTTGATAGTTTGAGTTTGCATTTCGTCGTCTCTCGACCTATTTTACGCTAGTTAGTGCTATTTTTTTTATAAATTACAGGTCCTAGCATGTGTGATAGGGTAGAGGACGAGTTTCGGGACGATTGGATAAGATAAAGCGCCAAAAAGTGAAGGTCAGCCCAAGGTCAAGGGCAGAGGTCAAATGTCACGGTCACCAGACCGCGACAATTGATAATTGGGCATAACATTCACAAGTTCCAGAACGCTTGGCGCACCTCACTAGACCCCGAATGTTTCACGGTCGACTGACCGTGAAGTGGGACCAAACATTGGGCAAAATGGTGCTTTTTGGTCCGATGACACGGTCAGGGCTCCAATGTCATGGCCGTGATTTCTAACCGTGAAAAGTGACTATTGAGCTCTATAATAGAAGGCTAATGGGAGAGAGAAAGGGGAGAGCTTTTTGGTAGGTTTTTAGTTTGTAGAATAAAAGAGCGTTTCTAGTGAGATATTAGGGTTTCTCCTTCAAAGCTAGAGAAAAAGTGTCATTCAAAGGAGGAAGAAGGAGATTGGGCTTTCTTCAAGCTAGAGGAGTGAAGATTCTTACCTCTCAAAGGAGATTCAAGCAACAAGGGAGGAAGATAGTCATCTCTTCATGGTTCTTTACCTTCTTAGCCGAAAGGTTAAGAGAGCTAGACTCCCTAGTTTATCATAGTAATCTTTAATCCATTGATTGAGAGAGATAAGGTTCCTAGCTTAACTGTTTTTCTTAACCGATTAATTAAGAGAGTGAGGTTTCCTTCACTTGTTGCGCACTCCTACGGCGTATGAACACACCTCCACACATTTGCGTTCGATTTGGTCGATCTTGATATGTAGCTAGGGGGAGCAATACCCGTGTGAATTTTTCTATCATTGGAAAAACCTCGATTTACTTTGCTTGTTTGTTTATTTTGTACTTTTCTTAGTTTTAAACCCAAAATCGTTTGCTAGATAACAACTTAAGCGATTAAAGTAGGGATACATGGACTGGCCCGGTTTAACAATTAAAACATACTTGCTCTATACTGCACCCGACTAGAATTTATACTTGGGCTCTACTCAGTATTTAATTCGCGGTGTATCCGTGGTGAGTCACTATCATATACTTGTTAGGTAAAGTTCAACATGCTCAATTAATATTGAACTCTCTGAAGTAGATGTTCACGGAAGAATATATTGTACACATTTGAGTTAGTATTATCTTTAACGCTAGCGATTTGAAATTCAATAATGATTATCTTATTACAATTTAATCATACTAATTATCCAATAGGGGACCTCTTAACAAAATCATATTGAAGGAATAATCAACTTTAGGATGTGATCTAATAGACCAAATAATTTGAGTGATATTTTATGTCAAATCAAGAAAATAATTCACGATTGTGTATGAAAAAAATAAAAACAAAAATTGTATTATGAACAATGTATGTACTATAACAACCCCGCAAAAACAATGAAGACCGCCAAATGACTCTTTATTTCATCAATATAACTTTCTTTCTCTTGGTGGCTTTAATGTGACACTCTCATGTCTATGCTCCAAATAGTTACAAATTATGTTAGTTGTTTCGTTACTTCAAAGACGTATGGTGAATGCTATACCAAGAGGATTTTTGTGTTATTCAACAAACATGTGATTTCTTTTTCGAAGATTTTTTACTTTGCAAACAATTTTTATCTAGCTTTCGATTTCTAATCATTCACGACTTCCTAACAACTTAAGAAAATTATGAATAATTTTCATGTCTAATCTATTGACCATAAACTTTGATATCACTTAAATTCAATGGTATCCCTGTTAGGTTTTATGTCTCCATATTCTTCAATTTCTCCAAAATTTTGCATACATCATATCTTGCAATTGCTATCATATACTTGTTATGTAAAGTTCAACATACTCAATCAATATCGAACTCTTTGAAGTAGATGTTCACATAAGAATATATGAAGTATTGTGCACATGTTTGAGTTAGTACTATCTTTAACGCTACCAATTCAAAATTTAATATTGATTATCTTATTACAATTTAATCATATTAATTGTCCAATAGGGGACCTCTTATCAAAATTGTATTGAAGCAATCCTTTATTGATTAATTTAAGGATGTAATTTAATAGACCAAATAGAAGCAATTAATCTACAAAAAGCTCTTAAAGATTGTTATAATTATCGATATCCAATAAGACATGGATGTAAGGTGGTTGTTGGGCATTTGCCTATATTCTAGCTCGTCTACACATGCTTGAAAATAATAATTTATAATAATGAACAATTTATTAGTATGTATATAATCATACATTAGTCAGTACTTTAGTTTCAATGATTTACCAACAACAAAATAGCTCTCAAGTTTAGAGACTTTTTATTTTACCAAATAGTACAAATTAATTAATTCATTATCTAAGTATAAGTATGCGAACCATATATTCATAATTAGCTCATTTTTATTGGACAAGTATATATGTACGGAAATAATTAAGAAAGACTCTAAAGTCTAAAGAAAGAAAATCTTTATTCCAAAATACTATTTGGTTACTAATATCACGCATTAATCAACTACCAGGTATTTAAGATATTCATTTATTTGAATTTGCTTTTCAACGAACAAAGTGGCTGAGGAACACAAAAGATAAGTGATACCTCATACATACGGGCATTGCTATTCGTCGCCTTAAAATTTAAATTTTTTCGCCCTAAATCATAATACATTGACATTTATACCCCTATTTCCAATTTCAATCTACATCCCCTAAACCAGCGGAATTCGAACATCCACCGATAATCCAAGAATCGGCAGTGAGAGCGTTAGAGAAAGAGGCCGGACGTTCGAGCGGTCTCAATTTCTACCACGAGATCAGAGAAGGAACTGTGGTTTTAACCGCGAGAAATGAATGGGAGACAATCTGTTTGAAAGGCTTCCCCCTCCTTCTCATCAGCTCCATAAAGACAATTATCTGCCGCCTCCGCCGGAGAAGAGTAATACAGACACTACAAGCAATTGGGCCAAGCCCAGCGGTTCTCTACCAAGGGTTGGAGTAACCGCTGCCGGGATTTATATCCTTCACTTTTGGCAGCGAATGGCCCAGCGAATGTTATAACCGCTGATAGGCCCAAACATGTAAATGTGCAGCGATTGATCCAGCGGAACAAACAACCACCCAATTTGTTTGTAAAAAAAAAAAAAGAACAAACCAATTTTGAATTTTGACCGAAACACATTTTCAACAAAATTGTTTTTATCGCATTCCTTATCATCGAGAAAAAGCTCTGCACTGGAAAAAACAATCGAGAAAGAGCTCAGCTCATCTCGCCATCATCTCTGATCTCCGATCCGTCGATTCTCCTCCTCCTCTGAAGCAGTTTTCTCCTCTCGCCGTAAGCTTATCTCCGATTTCCAATTCGGCGATTCCGCTCCTCCTCCGAAGCCGTTTTCTGCGGACAGATTGTTCCGAAGCCGTTTTCTAGGGCAGCGGTTACTCCAACCCTTGGTAGAGAACCGCTGGGCAGCGGTTACTCCGATCATCGATTGCTACCGCGTTCCAACTATTTCTTTTGGTACTCTCTAAACCTAATTTGTGCTTGTGGATTTCTTCTGATCTCGAGCATAATATAGTTCTTAAATCTGATTTGTGCTTTTTGATTGCTCTGAACGTAGTAACCGAATCAGCTGAGTCAAGTGAATCTGCGACGAGATTTGATCAATTTTCTTCACAAATCTTTGCCATCTGGGATTTCGTCAACCTGTGTGAGTCCATCCCTCTTCCTCATTCGTTAATTCTCTGCTCCCACTAGTGATAGATAAGTTCAACCGCTTGTGTGCACGAATGCCTCTGATGTTCTTCCGTAGATCTAGGTGTAAGATGTTAAAGCAATCCGAAGCTTTGATACAGATAGATATATATTATGCACACAGTAGGAGTTGGTATAGTTGGTTTTGTGGGGTGTATATTTCTAGCTAGCAAGGAGGAGAAGATAAAGGGTACTTGTTCTTGTGTAAGCTTCTTACATTGCTTGTAAACTCACATTTATGGGATACTTCTCTGTACATGAATGCTTGTATAATAGGTTATCCATGTACGTAGTTTATATAGAGGAAAGGAATGGCAGGTTATAATATGTGTTATGTCATTGATGATGTTCATTATGGGTTAAGGACATGGAATTAGTAGTTGGTTTTGTTGATTCTGTACTAGTTAGGATTTGTTGCTTATATATGAAAATGAATCTATCTGTTGCAGCTTTTATCTGGCCAGCCAAACTTATGAGTTAAGACCATGTTCTAATTGTCGTCCAACATTACTTGTAGTTTTTATATAGTGCCAAAGGAAGAATGTCCAAAGCACAACTTACTTGCTTGAGGGGCTTCCTGTTGCTTTAAGGTTTTGGACACATTCTTTGTTAATCAAGTGACACGTGAATTACCAGGTACACTACTAATTTCAGTTTTTTTAATACATTTTGTCCAAGTGATGTTATGTGTTCTATCTTTGTTATCTAGTATATACTCCCCTCTCCTGTTTGTTGTCCCTTCCCCCGACAAACCATTACAGTATACTAATTTAATTCTAGCTTCCATCATGTTCCTTTGAATAAATTAACAAAGTAAAAAAAAGAACACCATTCTTATGATATTCATTCTGTTGGTTTTCCATTTTAGGTTATACTGATTTTCAGTTTTTGTACCATCCAATGGACAAGAGTTGGATGAACAAGTCTAGAGTTAGTCGTGAATACAAGGAAGGGGTAGAATACTTTCTTGATTTTGCATTCCAAAATGCATCTTCAGAAGGAAAAATCTTGTGTCCGTGCATCCGTTGTGCAAACGTTAATTTTCAAACGCGTGAGAATGCTCGAGTTCACCTCATTTGCGATGGATTTTTACGAGGATATTCCTATTGGATTTTTCATGGAGAGACATATAGAACTAACATCCCTTCCTTTTCTACTTCACAACCTTGTCCTTCATCATCGTTTATGACGAATAATGGACAAGATTCTGCCCCTACTCAATCGAGTCCGCGAATTGGGACAGACTTGATTGGACTAATTAGAGATGCCTTCATTGCCGATGGCCAAGTAAACAATGAGCATTCTGTCAATGGAGATTCTACCCATGAAGATGGGGAGAATCTGGGAGAAAACCTTGAAATGGATGATTTAGATGAAGTTTTAGAGGAGGATACTCCAGAAGTAGCACAATTGATTCAAGATGCAGAAGAAGAACTCTATCCTGGGTGCAAATCTTTCTCAAAACTATCTTTCTTATTACATTTATATCATCTGAAAGTTCTCAATGGATGGTCAGCAAAGTCTTTTACAAAATTGCTTGAGCTTTTACTAGATGCCTTCCCGGAAGGTGTTTCTTTACCCAAGTCGCATGGTGCAGCTAAGAAAATAGTTCAAGGGTTAGGTTTAGACTATGAAAATATAGACGCATGCGAAAATATATGACTATACTTACTTTCGACAGTAAGTATAGTCATATAAGTTCAGTTATAGTGAAATTAAGTTAAATAGTGATCTCCTTACTGTTTTATAACCTAGAAAATTCATCGCCATGGAGAAGAAGAAACGACGTAATCGTACTCGCCTAAGCAGGGAAAATATTGACAAATTGGTGAATGAAAAGTTCCAAAATTGGTTTTTGGCAGAAGTAAGCTCTTTTGAGATTACCATTTAAATTAAGAATTGAATCATGGAAAGGGCACTTTTAACTTATATATCTGATCTGTTATGTCTTAGGTCATTGATGATTCAAGTGTCCCCGAAGAAATTAAGGTTCTTGCTAGAGGTCCAAACCGTGTAATACGAAGGTTTTCAGGATACTCAATCAAGGGTCTTAGGTTCCATACTATCTCAAGGGAGAAGGATCAATCAACACAAATCAGTGGTGTTGTTAATGTTACTGAAGTGGGACAAGTGAATTACTACGGAGAAATAACGGACATCATTGAATTAAACTACTACGGTAGTTTTAGGGTCGTCTTGTTTAAATGCGATTGGGTTGATGTTCACCATCACTTAGGCATGCAACAAGATGAGTTTGGTTTTACATCGGTGAACTTTTCCAGACTTATCCATACTGGAGATAATCTCAATGATGATCCATTTGTATTTTCTTCACAAGTAGATCAAGTATTTTATGTGGATGATCCGCAGAATATGGGCTGGTCTGTTGTAATAAGATTTAGGCCTAGAGACACGTATGACATGGGGGAGGATGACTTGGAGGATATGATATTGTCTCGACCAAGTGCTTTTGGCAGCTTAGATGTTGAAGATTGCCCTACTTGGGTGCGAACGGATGTGGAAGAGGAGTTCATTGTGTAGTTTCAGTCTTATGTTTGTACTTGGAGTTTTCGTTAGAAGTCTCAGTTGTAATATTTTGAACAATAGTGAATTGACCTAACTTAATGTCTATTTTACAATCTTATTAATATTTTATTGCCCTGCTGCTACAGGTCCTTTATGTTACAATTATAACTCTGTTATGGTCTCAATTTTAGCTATGTCCCTACAGTAATAGTTTCAATGAGTTCTCATCGCTGATATCCTTGCTCCTTTTGCAGAAAGGACCTCACAGTACTCACTTTTGTCTCCCTGAGGTTTGTATTTACCTCCCTTAATTTATGGTTCCAATTCTTAGGCTTTTAAGTCCTAGAAGATACATATTTGGAGAAATACTTTCTTTCAGAATAGCAAATAAGCCAAAGAACTATAGAAAACAAGATGATTTTATATTTTGTCATGTGAAATATAGAAAACAATCCATTAATTCCCGTTGGCAATTCCCTGTTCAAGTTTTAACTAATCTAGATGACTATTTAATATTTATTTGTGTTATCTACTGTTGCTTTCAGCTTTGATATCCACAACCATCATGGTAACAAAGGGAAGAAACTTGAAAAGACTTAAAATTGTAAGGGAGTCACACCCTCGAAACAACAATCAAGATGTAGAGGAGCAATCACTTAAGGGACAAGTTCAGAGGGAGTCAAACCCTCAACACCACAATCAAACTGAAGGAGAGCAATCACTTAGGGGACAAGTTCAGAGGGAGTCAAACCCTCAACACAACAATCAAGCTGCAAGAGAGCAGATTGAAGAAGAAGTCATTGAGGAAACTGAATATGATGGATTTACTACCTATGTTGGTAATGTTCTTTTATTCATTGGAATAATTGGTTACTTTTTACATTGAATTCTTTATACTTCTAATTATTTTGTGCTTATATGTAGACAATATTGGGAGAAGATTCAGAAGGAGAGGACCAACAGTCCTAGCTGATTTATGGAACATGGATCCAAATGAAAAAATTGATGTTGAGGTGAATAAACATGGAACTCCATGTGGTCCAGAATCTGGTTTATTTGCATCTTTCCTTGGAGTTGTAGCTAGAAATGGACTGTTTACACCCTTGGAACTTAATTGGAGAAAGGCTGAGTTTCGTCCTTATAAAGCAAAGATACTAGATCTTGTTCAGGTATGTTTACACCTCTGGATCTTTCTCTAGATTCAGCAATTCTGTTTTCAATTGGGTTAAATTTACCTGCACTTCTTTTCTCCACCAAGTCTTGTATATTTCTACTAAGCTGGTTTAGTTGTCTTTAGCTGTTTAGTTGTCTCTGCCAATTTGTTTAATTATGAATTCCATGAGATGATATTTAGTTGTCTTCGGCTGTCTCTGCTCGAGTTTAGTAAAAACTCCAAAATCCCTTGCATTCGATACTGAAAGATAGAGAAGAAGGTTAATGGAGCTTAGGTTACTTCCCTGTATTAGTAAGACTCATTCCCCTTTCTAAGTTAGTTACTGATCTCAAATGGATCAACATGAGCTTAGGTTACTTCCCTGTATTAGTCAGACTCATTCCCCTTTCTAAGTTTTCTACTGATCTCAAATGGATCAACGTGAAAAGGAGATTAAAAAGTCAACATTCCCAAAGTTCATTTGTACTTTCCTCTAGTTTGCATGTGTGACTTTCGAGCAGCATAGGTGAATTTTGATTGTGATAGCAGCGTGAGGGATAGGAAGCTGGATTCTGCTTTCGGGCCCCAACAAATACGAAGGCTTCTTTTCTCCATCAAATTAGAGACTAATTTTCTTTTATCTTGAACCAGACGAAGTTTCGATATCCAGCTGCTACCACCAAATGGATTTTGTCAACTGTGAATAGAAGGTGGAGCGACTACAAGACGAAACTGAAAAGTAAATATTATGATCCTGAGCTGTCTATTGAAGAAATTCTTGCAATACCGAAGCCTGAAGGCGTTATTGATACCCATTGGCAGACTTTGGTTAACCGATGGTATACTGAAGAGTTTCAGGTATAAATTTTAACTTTATTTGATTTTCATCATCAGATTTACTAAATTTTAACTTCTTAAACTTATGACTGCAACATTTGTAGAGACTGAGTAGGATAAACGCTGAAAATGCTAGCAACATGAAGACTCCACATACATGTGGAAGGATGAGCATTGCAAGGTGGAAGGCTATAAAAGTATGTTTTTTTACTTAATTTGACTTGTTTGATTTTCTTTACAAATTTAAATGGACATTAACAAATGAAGGTACTTTGTCCTTATGTTTATTAGACTATGGAAACCGGAAAGGAACCTGATAGGTTGGAAACATTTGAGAATACTCATACAAGAAAGAACGGAACCTATGTGAATGGGTATACAGCAACCCTAATTGTAAGAATTTATTACTATTTTACTTTATTGAAACCCTACTGAATTTGGTTTGCATAGATGTGTAAAGATGTGTAAACTTTCTTTGCTCTTCTGCTATGTTGTGGTTGTGTAGGAGAAGGCCCATACTCTTCGACAAGAAGGTTCTTTTGATAATGAACAGCTCTTTCAGAAGGTACATGGGCCAGAGCATCCAGGGAGGGTTCGTTGTGCTGGTTTGGGACCAACGCCCTCGACTTATTTGGGGCCTTCTTCTTCGTCGGCTTCAATAAATTCTACCACGACATCAAACTCTAATGAGGTAGACGCCCTACGAAGTGAAGTGATTGAACTGAGAAATGAACTGATGGAAGCAAAAAGTGAGGTAGTTGAACTGAGAAGTGGGATGGATCAGCTGCAAATGGAAGTAGACACATTGAAGACACTGTTCTTGCAACATCTTCGTAGGGAGAAGGGGTCAATGGAGGGTTCAATTCGTGCACCATCTTCATCAAGCCAAAGTGCTACACGGGGTTGACAAAAGGTAAGTAAAAAAAAAATAAAGTACCTGCTGCCTTGTTGATTATGACTGTTTGTTTGCAAACTCTGTTCTTTTACACTCTGGAATTTTTGCAAGCTCGTAAGTTTTTGGTTACTTTCTGCTCTTGAGAATGTGATAGTATTCATATTCCCTTTGACATTCCAGTCTAATTTAGTACAATTCTCAGTTTAGCAAGTTAGATTATATATATATAGAGTAAGTAATGGCAATGGCCAACAGGTGCTATTATGTATCTGTTCAGTGCTCAAGGGTTAAACCCTTTAATGCGTGTATATATATATATATATATATATATATATTTGAAATTGTTGTCTTGTTATTATTTTTCCAGCTCCAGGAAGAGAGAGAAAGTCCCCTCTAACTACAAGCGATGCACCAGCCACCAAGTGAGTCATATCATATAGATGATGTAATTTGATTTGGAGCTGTACATGTAATTTGATTTGGAGCTATATGTTTTGGTTGCCTTTGTAACAGGATAAAGATGAGCTTTTGGTGATTCAGAAGAAAGCCTAAGTTCAATATTTTGGATTTAGTTGGAACTTTATCTTTGTTAAAGTGTACTTTGGAAGTATTGTGTAGTAATAATGTGTACTTTGGAAATTAGCATTGTGTGGCATGGATAATGAAGAATGTTGTAGATTTTGAAGGTACTTTGCAGATGTTCTAGAAATTTTTGAAATTTTTGAAATGCTTCAGCAAGGGTGCAGGATTTCTAGAAATTATGAAAAATTCAAATGCTTCAGCAGGCTGTAGTAATGGTCTAAAAATCGTCGCTAAAAATCATATGAATTGTGTTGCTAAAAATAATCCAAAACGTCGCTAAAAGGTTACCCAGTGCTTGAAGAGTGGTCTGTAGCAGGGGTCCAAAACCGTCGCGAAAGCTTCTGCGATCCCAGCAAATATTCGCATCTGGTGGCACAAAAAAAGACCAACTGCGACAGAAATAACCGCTGCAAACAAACCGTCTCTAACAACCCCTGTACCGGTTTTTGTAACCCATGCCATTACTTAGCGACGATTGTTCTTGCGACGGTTTTGCAGGGGTTACAAAAACCGCTGCCGGGATTGTTAGCGACGGTTTTTTTCGTCGCTAAAAGTGAAAAAAACCCCTGCTGTTTGTCTTTTATTTTGTAGTGAGAGCTGGTGCATAGTGAACTAATAGAAAATCTCAGAATTGTGTCTCTGTCAATGCTTGTTTGTAGGATCGGGTGTTGAAAAGGATTTTGCAGCACCAATCCATTAAAGTAAATTTAATATAATTAGGGATTGTTAAAACAATGATTACAGTACCTTCCCGCCGGCGCTCGAGTAGCAGCAACGGCAACAAATTGGGTTTGGGGCAGGGGCAGAGGAGGGGAGGGGACGATTCTTTTTCTGGTGAGGGCGGCAGACGTGGGTTGGGGAAGGGATTATTGGGCTAGGGCTAGAATTGAAATTGTGTTAAGGAGTAAATATGTTAATTTGTTCTGTTTTAGGGCTATAAAATTTAAATTTTAGCGCGACGAATAGCGATTCAGCATATATACAGGAAAATGACAATAATAAAATAAAAGGAAAAAGGGCAAAAACTAAATACAAAAAATAAAATGAGCCAATAGCTCTTTATTTCCTATTTGATTTTCTCACCGCTTAAATCGCCGCTTAGGACCCTCGGTGTTTGGGCACTGCTAAGCACCTAGATACAATTATTCCAGCGGCCTAAAATAATTTTTAGAACCCTTAATTATACACGAGAATCAAATTCTCCGGCCAACATGTCAGACCCTAATATAGTGTAGTCAATGTGTTTTGATCTCTCTTCCTACTTCAATTAGAACAAATCAGAGCATCTTATTCTTATATTAAGAGGTTAATGGCTTGTTAATATATTTTTTCATGCAGAGTATTGGAGGTGTTAATGGGTCGTAGGGATGACATAAATATCCGTAACTATAGATATCCGCCTGAATCCGATTTAGTCGGGTAAGGTAAAACTCAAACCCGAAAGAGTTTTAGTGGGTACGGTTAAAACCCGAACCCAAATATTGCGGGTAATGAGTGGGCATGGTTTTTTCACTATCCAATCCGAACCCTCCCGATTATACACATGCATGTGTATTTTTTCTATAAATAATCATTATTTATCTCTAATATATTTTGTATTAAGCATATAAATATAGTATTTTCATGAAATTGTGTTGTTTTAATTAATGTGAATTATTGTCGTACTTTCCTCTTATGTAATGTGAGAATACGTGTGAATGTTAACATATTGGTTGAAATTATAAAGAGAAATTACTACCAATGGATAACCGTGGAGACCCGAAACCCGAATGGGCATGGGCATGGCTTTGATTTTCTACCCGTTTCTTATGTGAGTATAAATATGAGTAAAACCCGAACTACTTTGGATAGGGTAACAGATATACACGCCACCGACCTTACCCATTGCCATCCTAATGGTTGTTTTCGTGCATCTCGTTATTATCAATTAGATGGATTCATTTACTTGTGACCTCATTAACATACTGATTCCTTTTCTTAGGAAACCCGTAGGATTAATTTAGTATATTTAGAATGCATCTAATTTGTTTTCAGTTGTACATATCTACTAGCCTATAGCCCGGCCCGTTGGCCGCATTTGTTTAAGGAAATGGAGTTACAATATCTATAATGATAGTGTCGAGAAATGAGTCTTGTTTTATATTATCATAAGATTGTTGCAATTTTGCAATTCGTTGAAGACGAACATGTAATATGAATGAACATTCATAATAAGTTAGAAATACATTTGAAGATTAGCTAATCACAATAAAAATACTTACATGAAATTTTACTAATCACAAATATAATCTAGTTGAGTATTACGACAAATAACATGCAAGTCCAAAATAAGAAAACTCAATACATTGTCTCATTGTTCATGACATGGTACTCAATTCAACAAAGGCAAAAATAATTTCACCAACACAAGTTCACAATAACCAAATGCATCGTTCCAGGGACCGACTGTGACCATGACTTCAAATGTCTGTTCTCCAAGCATGTTCAGAAGGGCCATATAGTCAGCATTGACAACATCTGCATGACTGAATACAGATTCAACAATCGTTCGTAACTGTGATGACGAGAAGACGATGTCAACACCAATGAATTCGTCCTCAATTGTGAGGTGGACGAAATGGATTCTGGATGCAGGGGACCAGGACGTCGTCAAATTCGTTACACGTCCGGATAACAAAAAAGAGGTGTCCTGATGTAAACACAGAAACGAATATTGTCAAAGCAAATCGATAAAATGCAGCATGCCACAAAAGGCGTACGATTAAAAAGAAATTTATTTGTTTAGTTACCTGATTTTCGACATCCACTTGCAACATAATGAGATCGATGGTGTCGGCACGCTCACAAATTTCAAGAGCATCATCATATTGCAGATTAGCAATAAAACCATGGGGAAGCCTATATATTGGACTGTAAGTTTTGACATTAAGTAGTGAAAAAGAATCGAAATTACATGATGTAGTATTTGTTGGATGCATGAGCAGTACTTACTGATTGAATTGAGGCAGGCCCGCCATATTGAATGCAATTCGCACGGTCAATGGAACCGAAGTGTTTTGTATGGGAAGTAGTAAACGGAAATTGTAACATGAGAGAAAGTGGTATCTCCATTATATAAAGGAGAGAAAGTGATTCTACACACGTGATTTACTTGGCTGCATGCAGTGGAGTACGTGTGTGTGTGGAAAGTGGGATAGTGGGGGAGTGGAGAAGGATTTGTGGCCTCGTGGGCGAGTGGAGAAGGTTGGCCATTTAGAGTTCAAGAGGCGGGTGTGTCACGGAACTCACGACCCACCTTTTTTTTTTTTTTAGGGGAACGACCCAACTTTTTAAAATCAAACATGCGCCTTCCTTTTATTTTGTTGCAATTAAAAATTCAAAAACAAAAGAAGGTAAGTACAGAATAAAATATAAAGAGAAGAAAAATCAGTTCACTTTTCCCAAAAAAGACCTAGCAGCCGCCCAAATTATGCTTTTTCAGTTTTAATAATTCTCACTTTATTCTTTTATCTCTAATAAGTGAAACAATAATTGTAAAAAAAAAAATAATTGTTAAGTCTACCAAGTAAGTCAACACCGGTTTATGATCGGTTTTTAATATCGATTAACCACCGGTTATTTGATAAACCTTGAACCCTTTACTAATCCGGATCGATGTCTGGTTCCGTTTTAACAACATTGCTAATTGCGACTGTGTCAACAATTCTTGTCCAAAATTGCCTTTCAAAGTTGCTAATTATTATTTGATGCGCCAACCCGGCCGGCACGGCCCACACCACCACTAATTAACATGAAATGAAAATCATAATGAATGTATTTAATAAAGAAATAATGACTTGGAATGCGGCAGCCTTCACCTCATAGAATATCCAAAAAAATCGGATACTGGGCAGTAGAGGAGGTGGGGGAGTGGGGGAGTGGAGAAGGATCCGCCCAAGGTAGTGTAGGTTGGACTTTTTTTTTATGTGAATAGGTTGGCCATTTAGTTTCAACAAATCCGGCTGGGCATTCCCTCTCTAACTATATTTTATTTAACTGAACCATGCTTGGGTTGTTTTGTGGGCTGGGTTGTGGTGTTAATTTAGTTTAGTTCAGTTACGACTATGGAAGTTCTTCTTCGTATTGCAATATAACGGTCACACTCGCATACCCTTCGGTAGAGTAAATTGAGGTACAATTAAATATAAAGTAGTGTGCATAAATCACATTTCATATAATTGGCTGTTAAAAACAGGAAAATAATTTGGACAAATTGAGAACTCAAGATTCAAATTGTAACGACCCGATAAATTTGACAGTCTTAGTCCTCAAATCGAATAAAACATAATACATCAATAAAGCACTACTCAAAAATCTCAGTGAACATAATGTTCTGCATAGTCTTCACCGGTTTACCTTGAGAGTCACAGCTAAGAATCTTGAGTCCCCTG